TACATGAATCACTAATCTTGTCTAGGAAGTGTTATTTTTATGTCAGCCACTAAACATAAATTTGTGGTTCCTTGATTTTCCCAACACAGGAGCTGTTGTCTGTAGAACCACTTGCAGTTGAACATGCTTACATAGCCCATTCAGGGTTGAGTTTTATAAAGCATATGGAAGGAAAGTTATGATGTTGCATTTTTGCCTTTTATTCATTAATGACTATGTGATAGAAACCTCAGATAAGTAAAGAGAGTTAGATTTGAATTATGTTAGTATTGAATCTAGCTGGAATGTGAAATTTGGATGGTATTCCTGAACAAGGTAGCGATTGATTTTATTTTGTGACCTCTAAATGCAATATGAGGACATTTGAGCTAAAAGTGACTAGAAGGAAGTAATGTACATATTTGGTTTTTTACAAGGAGTGTTGTAGCTGCACTCCTCAGTATTATACAATTCTTGGTTTAGTGGCCATTGTAAAAAGTGACAATTCTTAGTTTAGTGGCCATTGTAAAAAGTGAGGTATATGTAAATTGTGGTATGCAGATATTTTTATGGACTTCGTGATAAACTTTTGATTTGTAGTATCATATTAAATTGTTGTGATGTTCCTTTTCTCTTAAAGGCCTGTATTTTGGGTTATGGACAGTTCAGCTAACAATGTTTGTCTATGAACTGCCAGCCAATAGATTTCTGCATTTATGGAATTAGCCATTTTGTAAAATGTGAATTACAAACACAGAACAGTTTTTAATGAGAAGAAAATCATTTATATGTTCTATAGACTTTTTATACTCCATGTTACCTTTTGTAAACAGGGAACATTGCCGTGTCTCTGACATAGATCTGTATTATATAGTCACACACACGTATTATACTTGATTTCATCAAAATTCTCCTTTAGGAGAAATTTATTGAAAATAATTACTCTTTAAATTGTATTTATTTATTTATTTACTTATTTACCAAAAGGCTACATTGTGTTTGTCAGGCTTAGAACTCATAAATTTGTTAAATCAGTGGGATAATGTATGTAAAATAGCAAAAACTATATATTTTTCCACTAAACGATGTTATATTAAAGGAGTTTTTAATATAGGATAAACTAATCTGAACAATTTAATTTATAGTCCCTTGTAACTATTGATAGCAATGAAATAGCTTGCACTTGTCACGCAGTGTTCAGCCAGCCTTCTCTGTAATAACAGTAGTGTGCACTGTTGGTTTAGATAAAGGAAACGGATCCAGTGTTAGCATTAACTCATTTGTTTGTTTGTTTATGATGTTGGAAGGACTCAGGGCCTCCTATGCTAGGCGAGTTTCCATCATTGCTCTAGATGCACAGCTTTATTTGAGATAGGGTTGTCCCTCTGTGATCCTCTTCCCCTCAAGTGCCGTTGCATCTTACCAGCTTATATTAATTAGTATTGCTTAAACAATTGACAGAGCTCTGCAAAGTTATGTACTTCTCAGCATCTATATTTTCCATATTATTTTTAAAAACTCCCAAGTTACCTGAAAATTCAATGTGTAAAGATGTTGTACCGCATGTATTTATTATACATAGGGCCCTGGGTTTAATCCTTACCACCAAACCAAAACAGTGATTATTTCCATCTGGAGGTATATATATATATATGTTCCACCAATAATTTCTTAACAGATTAACTATAGCCTCACCATCCATGTTATTTCAGTAATGTAAACTAAAAAGTAGCCCAAGACCTTTAATTATAGAGAAAATTATTAACAAGATCAAAACTTCCAAGATTTTAAGAGTTAGATTTTTAAAATGGACTTGCACGAGGAGGGAGCTTACTTTGCTTGATTTTGTTTATAAACAGCCCTTAAAGAAGAAAAGTATGTATGATGACATAGAAGAATATATTCCATTTTGTGTGTGTGTGTGTGTGTGTGTGTGTGCATGTGCGTGTTTGCTATGTATATACAAATGTATTCAGTATTGTAGTTTGCAAACAGTAGGTCAAGATACAGTTCCATAAGACACAGAGTGAGTTTATAATTTAGTGACTTAACAATTACTAGTTCACCCAGGTACTCAAGATTCCCAACTATAGTCACAAACCTTATTGATAATATCTAGCTACTGTGGTTTGCTATGGTTTATCTTCCAAAAGTTCACTTGATGGACAAGTAACATGGTCTCCCACATAGTGATGTGGGGCTGGTCGGCTATGATTGTTACTGTGGATGTTGTGTTTGGAAGGAGTTGGTGTGGTATTTGTGGGATCATTCGGGTTATTGCTGACAGAGTTCTTGTAGAAAGTTAGAATGATACTCTGGCTTCCTGTATTACCATTTGATCTGTCCCTAGAACAGAATCCTGCCCTGGTGCTATTTGTTGTGATGTGGTATGGCTAGGAAGGCCCTCTTCAAAACTGCAACCATTTTGCTGGGACTTGTAGCTTCCAAACTTTGATATATCGCCATTTTTCTTCATATAGATGATGTAGCTATAGGTGTTGTGTTACAGCAGTAGAAAATGCACTAAACATTATCTTTTATAGTGCTGCAATGACAGTGATATGATATGATACCTGTATCATACTACCCTAGTGTAGTATGAGGAAAAGAGTCTGCTTGAGGTACATCATATAATAATCAATCAAACTCATCAGAGATAAGGAAATTTTGAGAAACTGGTAGAGTCAAGAGGAACCTTAGACAAATACAATGTACTCTAGATAGGAAACCGAAATACATTAAGGAAAAAAACCCCACTAAATTCAGTATCTAGTATAATAATTTTTTGATATTGACTAATCATAATTTAAGATATGAATAATGGGGGGAACTGGGTGAGACAGGTGACAGGAGTAGACGAGTTCCAGGACAGATGGGGGCTGCATAAAAAAACTCTTATCTCAGAAAAAAATACACATCCTATCTCAGAGAAAAAATATACAGATAATATATGGCACCTATGTTATATGTATATATACTATATATAATAAACACATCATATAATATAATGTAGTGATGTATAACATAATATGTACTATATAACATATACTATATGATGTATAATCCCCAGTGTTGTGTATTGTATATGTTACATATCACATATGTGTGTATTTCCTTTGTAATTTTTGATGGTGAAGAGCCGTATAACTTTTCAATGTGTTTAGCTTGTCAGGAAATAAAATATTGTGAACAGCTTATGTTTGATTTTAATAGTAGAAAAAATTTTAAAGAATGAAAACAGCATGATACTTAAAATTAGGGGAAAGAGAAAAGGGGCAAGTCACTTAGACTCTGGAAGAAAACAGGCTTAAGATTGTTCAAAAGATAATTGTTCTCAGTATGAAAATGAACCCTTGGGCATTAATCAGGTGTTTTAGATGCAAAGAAATCCTAGAAGTAAAAGCATACAATAAAAATAGTTCTAGCATCCCCAAACTATATATTGGGATTGGAGATATTTTTTCCCTATTCTACTGAAAAGGAAAATAAAAATAGGAACAAAATGGCATTACCTTTGTTCAGAATGTACTTAGGCAGATAGTCTCAACACACACACACACACACTATATACACATGTGTACATGTATGTATTTTTATGTTGTCGAAGATCTTGTTAATATCATTGGGAAAGATGGGACTATGCATAATTAAAGTTATAAAACTATTTTGGGGACTTCTGGGCCCATACTGATAATATAACATCCTGTCACTTGGCATTTTAATGTGATTAAATAAAAAAAAAATGTACTAGAGGGATGGTTTGGGGATTAAGATCGCTTGTTGCTTTTCAGAGTACCTGGATCCAGTTCCCAGCACCCACATTGTTATTTTCAGCCACCCATGATTAGTGACTACAGTGCCAGGGTTCAGATGTCCTATTTCAACTCCCTAGAGCTGCTCCATGTATGTGGCGCACATGCACACACTCAGGCACAAGCATACACACATAAAATAAATACATGAATCTTTGAAAAGGTTAATCAGTGAAAATGCCATTTTCACAATGATTCTGTGTTTTATCTTTTTGTGTTTGTTTGTTTGTATGTTTGGTTTTTTGTTTTGTTTTGTTTGTTTTTCAAGACAGGTTTTTCTCTGTGTAGCTTTGGAGCTTATCTTGGCACTCACTTTGTAGACCAGGCTGGCTTCGAACTCACAGAGATCCACTTGGCTCTTCCTCCCAAGTGCTGGGATTAAAGGCGTGTGCCACCACCTTCCAGATTCTGTGTTTTATCTTTTATAAAGGAAATGATAAATTTGGAGAAGAATTTGTACATGGCTTTTTGTCGTATCAAATCTTCCAGTGAAAATAAAATATGGAAAGCTAGTTTCTATAGACAAGTTTCTTATGATTCCTGTTATTGAAATTTGGGACTAACTCTCTGGCATATAAACAGATTTCTAAAGAGAATCCTAAATAGTGAATTGATTGCCAAATGTATCAGAATTTTGAAGTGTGATTATTAATTTATGATAATTTATAGGCTGCCTAGATATCCATGATACTAGTGCTTTTCTTCCCGAGATTCATATATTCATATTCCATGCTTTTATGACTCTCAGCGTTAGGATGGTAGGAGGAGTATTCTGTGAGGAGAAATTTTTCTCTAATCATAAGCTTATAATGATTGACTTATAGATTTATAGATAGGTGTATGCCATGGAGCTTCAATCTAAAGTTTGGGGGTTCCCCCCCAAAAAAATCTATATGATAATATTATTTATGAAGACATTTGTGTAGGCCTGTAGTGTTTTAGCTGAATAATGTCACTATTAAAATGATATGGTTTAGATAAAGGAAGTTTAGATTTTTAAGTCTTAGGCTCTCTCCCAGGGGCTCATGCATATCATGACTGAGCTGGGCTCTAACCTTTTAAAGCTCACAGTCTGCTGTTAAAATGAGCTTTCCCAAGAGTGTTTATGATTTATATGGTATAATAGAAATGTGACCATATTTGTAAATTATATAAAATATAATATGTGTGGTTTTATACATATACTTTAAATAATAGTTGTCTCAACAGCCAGCGTTATCTAGCTTGGAAACATTAATCGTCTCACAGAAGTCTGAAATCGAGTATTTGCAGAAGAAACTGAAAGTGGCAAATGAAAAGTTGTTGGGTTATAGATCCTCTGACCAGAGTTTCTCAGGGAAGAGCGCTGAAGGAAAACACAAGGTAGAGATGTTTTATCATCTTAGTCATTTGTCAGTAGTCTGGCAAGACCAGGGAGGAAGTAAAAAAACAATGAGACGCACACATTTCTTTCCTTATGTACATTGAAACTAAAAACTTACTTTCTTTTGGTAAGTAACCCTCATCTACTTGATAGACTTTATTGCAAAATGTAGTTACTTAGTAAACTTATAATTTAAGTAAAAGGAAAATGTATATAGAATTCATATTTTGTTCCAATATGATAGGTAAAATACAAGACCAGGACATATGGAATATAAATTACTGAAATATTTCAACATTAGTTGTCTAATTAGAAATTTAAGTGGTAGCAATAAAGATAAATTAGGAAATTTTACATGGCATATTTTTAAAAACTTCTCTACTTCTCTTTCTCTTTTTTGGTATGTATTATATATTTATGTTATGGAGCAGAATAAGCTATAGAATATTTACTGGTTGAAAGAAGTAAGTTTTTCCTAAATGTAAGGCATTTTTGACAGTTTTTCCTCAAACCTGTTACATCAGAAGTGTGTTTTGTGTAAGCACAAACAATACAATGTGCTGAGGACCATTGCTTTAGGTTTTCTCCAGTTTCCTTTTTTGTTTTTTTAATGATTAGAACAAGCTGCCTTAATAAGGAAGCATTTTGAATAAGACTGATCACTATATGTGTGTCATTGTTGCTTTTGCTTTATAGTATTATTAGTAAATTTTAAAAGTGTAGATTTTATTTATTCATCATAATATCATTATATTTTGCAGCTCTTATCAATTTTAGGTAGTTTCCCAAGCCTATTTAATTGAGAGAAAACATTCATAAGATTATAAATTGTTATAGGACCAAATTTGGTTGCTTGCTGTATTTTGCTGAAGTTTGAAAATATACTATTTGTATCTCCAAAGACAAGGAAAGGAAGAACGTGTGTTTTAAACATTTCCTTTTTCTTTTTTGTAAGGACTTGCATAAAAGGAGAATACTGCTGCCCAGCTTTATAGCCATTTTCCTGCATTCTGTCTCCAGTTTGGTATATGGAGCTACATAATATAAACACACATTCTTGTCTCTAGTTAGCCACATTACAGTTAATGACCATATGGTCATTATGGTATAAGATCTACTGTCTGTTGTATTTATATTCCTCAAGCATATTGTTCCTTCAACTTCACAGTGTGTTAAACTATTTCAAAGGGGAAAAAAATCCTTTCCCTCTTGTTTCTGGTTGTCCTATCAAGTGTAACCTTGGACCCTTATAGAGCAATTAGACCAGCCTCTATCCCCTCCTTTGTAATGAGGTTTCTTACATTTCTGAGTCTATAACCCTTTAGTCTTCCCTAATGGGACATCATTATTCTGAAAGAAACAATGTAAATGTAAATGAATATTCTCATTAACGAGTCACAGAGAAACCTTTAGCTGCAGCACTGTGGTAATTCCGCTTGTTATTTCTCGGGTATTCCATGCAGGACTTTTTTTTTTATAATTCATTATTAGTATTCAAAATTACTTGTTCTTTAATTTTGCATGTCTTTCATAATCCAGTTTTTCAGCCAGTTCAACCATGTCCTTGTTTTATTCTCGAGGAACCACCTGTGAAACGCTCAAGGTCTTTGTCCCCAAAGAGCTCTTTCATGGGCTCAGAGGAGCTAAGGAAGCTGAAAAAAGCTGAAAGAAAAATTGAAAACTTAGAGAAGACACTACAGCTAAAGGTGAACATTAAACCATTTCCTTAATTAAAACCATGTGAAGATAAATATAAACAGAGTAGGGATACAGTTCACATGTTTTTCCTTTCTAAATGTAATTATTATATAAAAACAGTCTTTAAAACAGATTTCTTAGGATTATAAAGTAGTAAAAATATTTACTATTTGAAAATAAAATACGTATTCATTAATTTCAAATAAATTTGGGGATAAATTTCTTAGAGTATTTTAGATACAATACCATAGATAGCAGAAAACGGATTTCCAGTTGTTCCTGTTTTAAGACTAAATTGAGTTAAATATCATATTCACTTTTCTCAGGTCACATATAAATACTGTATTATTTACTTTTCTTGTTTTCTTACAGAGGAAACAATGAACACTGAATGCTAGTTGGTCTGGACCTCCATCCATGGGATGGTGGTGCCACTTTGATTCAGGGTATATCTTCCCTTCTGAGCTGAACATCCCTGGACATCTCCTCACAGACACACAAAGAGTCTTGTCTCCTAGGTGATTTTAAATTTAATGAATTTGACAATAAAGTTACTTTTACATGAGAATCAGATAGAGCTAGGGATGTAACTCAGTGGTAGACCACTTACCTAATACACACACAGCCTTGGGTTAAATCTCCAAGCCTGCAAAACCAAAACAAAACAAAGGCAGACACATAGCAAAAATACCAAATTTTTAACTGAATTTATTCCAGGACATTTTGTGTGGTCTTTAAATTAATTCTCTGCCCATTTTAAGAAGCATATACCTTATTGCTTTGTCTTTCTAATTCATACTCAGTGAACTTGGTTTATGAGAGGAGGTTCTTAGGGCATGGTGCTAGTTTGATGTGATGTGTTAGGGTTTGTCTTTTTGGGCTCATCTCTTTACCTGTTCAGTCATGTCTGACTGCATACTACTTTGCTTTCCACCATGATGATAAAGGACTAAAGCTTTGAATCTGTAAGAGAGCTCCCTTCCCCCATTAAATGTTTTCCTTTATAAGAGTTGCTGTGGTCAGGGTGTCTCCTCACAACAATAAGACAGAAGGATACTAGATTCAGACCCACCTAATGACTTCATTTTTATTTGTTACCATTGTATAAATCTTATATCCAAAAAGAGATCATGTTCTAACATATCAGGGTTAGGACACAACATGTTTGTTATTTTGTTTTGTTTTTCTCCTGAGAATGGAAGAATGGTGACCTATATTTGGATTTTAGTATTTGGATTTTAAAATATTTTGTTTTGGCTTCTTTCTTTTTAGGCTATTATCCATTAACTCAGGCTGAATTTTTGTTATGACTTTTGGTGTTCTATGGAATAGTACTTTGCCAGAAATTAATAGGAATATGGTTGAGGAAAAAGTGGTCCAGGCTCAAATTGTTATTGTAAACCAAGTATTAAAAGATTTCTTTTTTGTGACCTTTCAGTATAATGTGCATAATAAATCTATAGAAATTTATAGACACATTTCTCATATATTCTTGATTGTGTCACATCTATTTGTGTATTTCCACAAATACTGTTGTTCTATGGAAGATTCCATAAAGAAAAAGTTATGGTTCCCAGGGAGATGTAGGTTACCAGTCAATTAAAGGATGAGAGAGATATATTAACTTCATTGTTAGCTCATGTAATATATAATATATACATACATACATACATATATATGTACATATACATACACACACACGGGAACTATTAAAATTATACTTTTGGTGAATCTGCATTTATGCATACTAAATTCTGTTATTAATTTCTATAAATATTTACATATTTTACTGTTCTTTTGTATTATAGCTGTAGTTACTTTAAAGATGATGAACACTGTCAAAATAAATATGCTGAAAGCATGGAAAATGGAGAGTTATTAAATAACAAATCTTTTCCATATCCCTAAATTCATGAATGTGGTGCTCTAACAACTTACAGATGTAACATGGATGTTTATGTTAGAGCTTCAAGAAACCCCTATTAGTCCTTTGTTCAAAGAAGCCAATTTTATGCTCTTGGCTACTTGATTCTATTAACAATCTTCAATGGCATTTAATAACAGTATGTCTGTTAAAGCGATTTTTCAGTTTCTGTGATGAAATACCCTGACCAAAGTAACTTGAGGGAAGAAAGGATTTATTTGGCTTACATTTGCAGGTTACTGGCAATGCAAAAAGGCAAAAACAAAACAAAACAAAAAAACAATAAAACCTATTCATCTAAGGGAATAAGAGGTTATTCTGCAACCAAATTTGGGTGATCATAAGTCTAGAAACATATTTAGGTGTCTCCAAATATAGCTCCCCAATGAGGAAATAGTTTCGTGAGATTTTTTTTTTAATAATAAAAGACCAAAGAAAGATATAAACTTGGGAATTTTAAAAATACATTATTGGGAACAGTAAGTGGGTAGGGTAGTTACAACAAACAAGAATCTCAACTCTATGCCCCAAATGTTATCTGATAGTATTCTTAGTTCTTTGGTGGAGATTGGGTTTTTATTAATGCATTCTAAAGATTTTTATCTTTAGTCGAGATATTAGGTCAGACTCTTAAGTAGTCAAGAAGGCTCTTTAGGGTGTTAATGATAGTCTGAAGGGAATTATAATTAGGATATGGGATCAATAATATTCCAAAGTCTGTACTCACTGAAGTTTTTATCAGTCCATCAGCCTATGCAGACAACATCTTTCCTGGAACTCATCATACCACTGTCCATTCATTACCGAGGTGCATCAAGACAGGAACTTGTAGCAAAATCCATAGAGGACAGCTGTATGCTGGCACAGGCTCTTATGTAGGTATCTTTCTTTTGTAGTTCAAGACTACCTGCCTAAGGATGATGTCCACCCACAGTGGACTGGACCTTATGTTAAGAATCAAGATAATCTTCCATAGATTGCCAGCAGGCCTTGTCTCACCTAGGCAATTCTTCAGTCAAACTATTCCTTTAAGGTGATTCTAAGATGTGTCAATTTGACAAATAATGCTGTATTTTTATAGCCCTGATTATAGAAGATTTATATATTTTGATAAAACTAAGTTGCCCAAGTACAATCCTTAAAGATTCATTAACTTTATAACACAATGGGTTACTATAGAAAGAAGTGAAAGAACATAAAGTTGGAAGGGGAGCATGGAGTTGTGCTTCTGGTGGGAGTTATAGAAGGGAAGTAGGAGGTGAATATGACTGAAGAAATATCTTGTGTGCATGAATTGAAGGGTTAATGAGCGGAAAGCCTCAGGTGGGCTGAAGAACTCTGGGCAAGAAAGTTGACTGATAACACCTGTGGAATCTGGTGATCAGATCAGTGTACCAGCCTCTGTTGCTGTGCCCTACTTTGTGACGTCAAGGATCCGGACCTATTAACAACCCTGCCCTCACCATGCCTCATGTATACCCTGCCCTTTCTGGCTAAGAGACTGGTGTCCTTCCTCCCTTACTGGTAATTGCTTCTGCTAAGATCACTTTATTTCTTTTATTTCCTTGTCAGCTTCATCAATATTCATCTAAAATGCATGAAATTTTCAAAGAATGAAGACCAAGAGAATAAATAATATTTTGCTGACTTCCCTAAACGTGTGTTCTTGTTCCCTAAACACTGAATTATTGCCTTTGAACAGAGTTCATACTTCAGTTCAGTTTATTTGCCAAGGAGCCTTTAACCAAACCAGAAGAGTATATCAAGAATCACTTCTGTTCTCCTGAAAACAAAACAAACAATCAAACAAAAACAACAGAAAATATACAAATTATTCAGTTTACTCAGTTCCAATTCCTAATGTTTCAGGGTCCCTCACATTTCAGGAAAAAAAAAAAAATAGAAAGCCTTTCTTCCTTCCTTCCATCCTCCCTCACTCCCTCCTTCCCTCCCTTCCTTTCTTTCTTCCTTTTTTTCTTATTTTACATATTGATCCCAGTTCTCTCTCCCTCCCATCCCATCCTCCATCCACTCCCCAGGGAGGATGAGGCCTTTCAGGAGTGATCATCAAAATTTGTCAAGTCATTTGGGGTAGGGCCTAGGCCCTCCCCCATTTATCTAGGCTAAGGGAGTGTCCCTCCATAGGGAATGTGCTCCCAAAGTCCTTTTGTTGTACTGGGGATACATCCTGCTTCTACTGTCTGAGGCCCCTTAGACTGCCCTGGCCCCCTGACTGAGACCTATATTCAGGGGGTCTGGGTTGGTCCTATGCTGGTGTCTCAGCTATGAGACTGGGGTCCATGTGCTCCCCGTTGTTCAAGTCAGCTGTTTCTGTGGGTTTTTCCAGAGTGTTCTTGACCCATTTGCCCATCATTCTTCTCTCTCTGAAACTGAATTCCAGGAGTTTGGCTAGTGTTTAGTTGTGGGTGTCTGCTTTTGCTTCCATCAGCTGTTGGAAGAAGGCTCTAGGATTGCATATAAGGAAGTCATCAATCTCATTATCAGGGAAGGGCATTTAAGGTAGCCTCTCCACTATTGCTTAGATTGTTAGTTGGAGTCATCCTTGTAGGTCTCTGGACATTTCCCTAGTACCACATTTCTGTTTAAACCAATAATGGCTCCCTCTATTAAGGTATCTCTTTTTCTTCCTCTCCTCTAGTCTTCCCCTGACTCAATCATCCTGCTCCCTCATGTTCTCCTCTCCCCTCCTCTTCTCCCCTTCTCTTTCTCCTAACTCCCTCTCCCCTCACTGCCTCCCACCTCACCCCACCCTGCTCTGAATTTGCTCAGGAGATCTTGTTTCTTTCCCCTTCGGTAGGGGACAATGTATGTCTCTCTTAGGGTCCTCCTTGTTTCCTACCTTCTCTGGCAGTGTGCATTGTAGGCTTTGGGTATTCATTTTCAGTTCCTTCAGAAGTCATCACCTTTGACAAACAAATGGATATTATATCTGTTTTAAAGTATTGAATAAAGGAAAAGTGAAATGTAACCCATATTGACATCTTTATACCATTTTCTCTATTTCTGAAGGCAAAGGAGTTCCATAACTCCACATATTTGAATGAATGTATAGTTAAATATTATCATTAGCTATGAATATTTATAAATAATTCCTGGTTTGAGTTCATTTCCTATTAGTTTATATTTTAAGAACTTTTTAAGAATTATATAAACACTGGAGTATTATACATCAATGAAGAGACAAGTAAAATTATAACAAAGTTCATCCTTCTCCTGTAATCACTTCTTATCCCCTTATGAACTCTAGTTACCATAGAGAAACAAAAATTCATAAGAATTTTTCAAAAGTTAATTGTACAAAAATTTGGGGGAATAGATTTGATCCCATGAAGAATAATTACCTCAAGCTACTATAGAAGGATCTTATATAATAAACTTATTTTTGAAATTTTGACCTTAAACTCTTCCAAACATTCCTTACAGTTAAATTACTTTATCAAGAAATCTCTAACTTAGCTTGTTAAAATTCCTAATAAAATAACTGGCGTTTAGTTTGATTAGTAAATGTAATATGAAAATTTTAAGTTTTAATTCATTCTTTATTTCCTACAAGAGATATACATTCTATTTTAAAGGAGAAGAAACTGATACACATTAAACTTAAATGCCTGTCACAAAATTAAAATGAGTATGGTAAATTTTTAATGGTTCTTCTAGGTATTTGAGTATACTTCTTTTGAACAAGTTTGCAGTAGTGGTTTGAAAATATTCTAAAACTTATTAGATAATGATTTTTAACACCCTAGTCAAGAAGTGCCATTTTCATGCTTTTATTCTTTATCAAAAAATTTCATTTCCCTTTGCTATAAAAAAAAAAAAAACTTCCCTGCATGCACATGTCTCCAATAGTTTTGATAGTCATTTAAGCGAATTCTACTAGAAGAAGGATAAAAGCAGAGTGAAAAGGTATCAATACTCGTGAGACAGAATTGGAGAGAAGTAATGCAAACTACAAATATTATCTTCCAACATAAATGAGCAGCAAATGGCAAAAAAATAGTGAATTCTAAAAGATAAGGCCATCACTGTTAATACCTGGAGAAAGGATGATAAAAGATGTCCTGCTTTGCTGTGTGTGTCTCTAGGGAAGGCCTGCTGCGAGGCTTCTGCCAGTAAGCCTTTGTTTTCTGTTCTGTGTTTTGTAGAAAAAGAAGTTGGATTCAGTTGTGTGTGTAAGATTATGCAGCTAATAGAAACAATCTCTCAGAATGCAATTGAGATCTGAGTTCCAAGTGCCTACTCCTGTCACATCACTGTAGCATGAATAATATAAACCCAGAGACAGACATTAGCGTTCAAGCTGAAGATCAGAAAAGAAAAGTAGCCAGCCACTAAACTGGTCTTACTTCTACCAAGGATGAGACAATCCTGTCCTCAGTGTGTCTACAGACTGAATACTTTGCACTCTTGTCTCCACCTGCCTTATATTCCTCTTTAGTGCTGGGATTAAAGGCGTGCACCACCACTGCCCAGCTTTTATGGCTAACTAGTGTGGCTTCTTGGATTAAAGGTGTGTGCCACAACTGCCTCCTCTGTATTGCTGACTTGTGTGGCTAGCTTTGTACTCTGATCTTCAGACAAGCTTTATTTGTTGTTAGATCATAAACAAAATATCACCACACATCACTGCAACCTAGAGAGGATCTGTTTCCCTAGCAATTAACTACAGCAATTAATTGCAGAAACAGTATGCTTTTAAAGATTCATACCTTTTTGTGAGTATGAGTGTTTTACATGTATGTATGTATGTATGTATGTATGTATGTATGTATGTATGTATGTATGTGTCATGTGTCTGTTGCCCACAAAGCCAGAAGAAGGTGTCAGGTCCTATTGAACTTGAGTTGCAGGTTGTTGTAAGCCACCATGTAGGAATAAGCACTCTTAACTGCTGAGTCACCTCTTCAGTATCTGATTGTTTGTTTCTTTGTTTTGTTTTTTTCATTTGTAATTCTCATGCGGGACAAAAGCTCGGGAAGTTACTTGTTTTAGTTTAAGAAACACAATTCATAAATACTACAGTAGCATATATACATTTTATGAGGGGAGACCAGGAGATTGGCCTTCACAATATGGCTATAGCTAATTAATAGTTCTCTCATTTGTGATACATTTGAACATTGTTGACTGGTATAATTTAATCTATGCGATGATGTCACAAGTAATGCTTTGATTTGTATTGTGACTTTTTCAAAACTACTAAGCTTATTTCTCTCGTTACCAGTCTTCAAGGTAGAACCTGAATGCTAAATTACCCTGTTTATAGCATATGTCCATTCTTGTTTTCTTCCCTCTGTGAAATCCCTGTGCTTTATTACACATGAATCATGGATCCGTGGCCTTAAGAATTACTCCTTCTATAACTAATGTCTATATCTTTAATAAAATAATTTCCATATATGTATGAATATCCCTTGTGTGGTTGATGAAACATAAATATTTCTGAAATTATGATTATTTGAATGTCTATGAACTTATAGTAAGAAAAAGAATAATACTAATTTGGCAGGTAAAATTTGACACTAAGTAAGGTGTACAAAAATGCAGTGAATTGATTGGATTGATGAAGCAAACATGTTCTGTGACTAGGGGAAAATGGTTTTGGCTAAAATAAGTGTTGTGAATACACTCAAGGTTACACATGACCTTCCCTAAAATTTTATCTCTAGGTGAGTAATTTTTGAATCATTATATCAGTGGTTTTTCATGTTTACATACTTGCTTTTTGTGTTTTATAGAGTCAAGAAAATGATGAGCTAAGAGATGCCCATGAAAAACGCAAGGAAAGGCTACAGATGTTACACACCAACTACAGAGCAGTAAAAGAGCAATTAAAACAGTGGGAAGAAGACAGTGGCATGTGAGTTACATAGCTCATAAAAGCATTTCCCTAAATATTAAATGGAATGGAGAACATTATATAGGTGTTTAATGGCTTTTGTTTGGTTTTAGAAAAATTATTTGGTAGTCAGATCTTTACTGTGAATATTTTAGTAGAGAACATAACAAATGAAAACAGAAAAATGTGCTAGTCATAACTATAGATTTTCCTATCATTTACAGATGTCATTGGCAGAAAGTGATTATGAGTATATGCCTTTACTATTAATAGAATAGCTTAATAAAAGTCTATAATTCAAAGTAAAACCAGTTATTATCCATATTATTGAAGAACTGCTTTTAAATAAATAAAATACTGGTGTTAAAAATTTTATAACCCCCAAAGTATTTACATTTTAATGGAAAGACCTTAGAAATATGAAGCCTACATGTATAGTTAACCACCTTAAACTATTTCAACCTAGTCTGTAGTTTAAAGATCTTTACTATCCATCGGGTTTTTTTGTTTTGTTTTGTTTTGTTTTGTTTTTTTTTTACTTCAGCTTATCTGAATGACTCGACAGTCTCAGTTCAATTGCCCTGAACAGGTGTTCAGATCTTGGTTAGTCCTAAGTTGCTCCCTTGTTAACAGTATCAACAGAGGGCAAAGGACTGAATGAATACAGAAAATCTACTTCCCTCCCACTTTGAGATGGATCCTTTAGGGCACTGCTGATGATGAACAGTGGTCTATTCTATAGAGAAGTCGTTTCCAAATTGGCCAGTACAGCACTTTTAAAAACTTAAATCGAAGTTGTTTTTATGTACAGAAAATGAAACAATAAGGGCATTTGGCCTCACTTGAAGATAATTGTCACTTCTAATCTTTTCCTTTGATGAATGGGAAGGTTTTACATTGTGTCTCAGTGAAGCAGTAATAGACCAGCTTTCCCTAGCTTTAACTTCTGCTCACCCAGCTTGCAGTGATACCTACAAGAGTGCAGTCTGCGGTCTGATATGGTCACTATTAATAGCTCGTCTGCAATAGGGCTTCTTTACCACATACAGATTGTGTGTCGGCAAACTCTAGATGAATCAATGGCTTGTGTCTTTCTTCTGTAGACTTATAATCCTATAGTGTATGTTTCATTACTATTATACTAGAATAAATGAGAGAAATAAACCCTTAGGTTTATTAATATCACATACCTACTTAAAAGTTTGCTTTTTCATGGTAGCAATCTAGCTTGAGGGAATTATGATATAGGACTTTAATTTTGACATGCTTAGGTATTAGGAAAGTCATCCAAGGAGCAATAAAATTAAATTAGTAATTGAGATTTGGTCATTGGATAGTTCTGAATTTTAAGGAATGTATAAATAAACTTTATAGCACTTTGAATATGCTGCAAATTTTCATTTTAAAAGTAGGACTGAAACTAGAAAAATGAAGAGAGCACATCCTCAACAACTTTGTCAAGAAGATTCTGATGCTGTGTGGAATGAATTGGCATATTTCAAAAGAGAAAACCGAGAGTTGATGGTTCAAAAGTGAGTTTCTTTCTAACAGAAAACTGGATAAATAATCTGAGAATTTCTTTTTTTGTTACTCAAAGTCTTATTAGAGTAGTACATTTTAAGGATTGAAATTATTTGAGATCTATAAATAAGACTATATATGTTTGTTTATATACATATGTATATATAATTATGCAATAACAAGTTGCACATTTGCTAGCTCTAACAGAAACTGTATAATATAATCTAGGGATTGTGTTAATTAATGTGGCTCTCATCTGTTGAGGGTGTCGTTCTTCATTAGCCTGTATTTTAGACACTGCCGTGCTTCATTTTTGGAATGAGGTGGAGAGGGGATAACCTAGCCAGCCATCCTTGTTTGATCTCCTAGATATATACGCAATGCAGAATGCCTGAGCTCTCTTGGTTCCCTGCCCTGTCCTGCTAATCCCAGCTGAGCTCATTATGGTGTAGCCTTGCTGCTACTCTTGGAGCCAGAGCTGTCCAAGCTAATTACTGGTAGCAGCAGAACTGCCTGTTAAGGGTCTGGTGTGGATCTGCTAACATGGTCCTTGGTAGTGACCTGCAAAAGACACGAGGGAATTGCTTTCTTTCTTGCCTTGCACTACCCGTCCTTTGGGTTTAATGCTGATCCTCCACACAGGTCTTTTAGCTGCCCTAAGTATAAAACTTGATGAAGGATACTCATATTTTAGAAAACACACAGTTTTCTTGCTTGATCTTATAATGCACAGGCTATTATATTCAGCTTGGCAAAGAAAGAACACCTTTTTTGGTTTGTTTTGAAACAACAACAACAACAACAAAAAGAGTTACATCAATATAATTAGTCTCTTCTTTTACTGACTGTTTTTTTTTTCATTTAGAGTGAATTTCTGACATGTGAATCATAAAGCTTTTATAAGTCCAGATATTGTTTATGTTTTTTAGCTTGCTACAATTTAACATCGTGTTGCATATTATAATTAGCTGTCATTGATTATTCTTAACTATAAGCTAAAAGCATCTTTTTCTATGTGTACCTGTGATCCTTTTCTATATAATGCTAAACTTTTGAGGAAATAACCATGTTGGATTTAAATGTATATTCTTATTTCCCTTCTAAAGTACAGTATTTTCTATGATAGCTGTCTATTAGATGCCAATAACTAAGTCTTTTACCATGAAAATTATTTTATAGGCTACATAAATTTTTGGCTCAAACATTTCTTGATGATTTTAAATAGCTTTATTAAAATATAATTTAGAAACCATATGATTATCCCATATTAAATGTAATTCAAAGCATATTCAAAGATTTCTATACTATCTATCATTACAGTTAATTTTAGGACATATTTCATTGCCTGTACAAAAGCCTTGTACAACCAATCTTCTCATCTACTTTTCCAACTCTAGGCAATTACATGCTAATCTAATTTCTCCTTTTTTAGATTTGCCTATTCTCAATTTTTCATAAAATCTTTGTAACCACAACCTTTCACTCACTGTGTTTCCAAAGCTCATCCATGCTGTAACATGTACCAGTACCACCTTTATTTTTTATTAAATGAATTAAGCAAGAGACCTAGAAAAGGCTGTTAGAGCCAACCTACTCAAGAAAATTCAGGTAGATATTAACTATAAGAAATATATCTGAGTAGTACTTTACTCATTAATGAAAAAAATGTAAAGAATCCATTTAAAGAAAATTGGGCAACTCTTAGAAGCCTTATCTATTTACTTTAATGTGCTGCTATATTATGAATACCTCTCTGAATGAAGTGCTGGGTCACTATTAAACCATCAAAATTTTTCTTGGTAGCCTGTTTAAATCTATGGGTGTAAATGGCCATCTATAATAGTTATATTTAAGGTAGGATTTAAATTAGTAAAAAATAATGAATTATTATTCATAAAGAATGCTAAAGAAGCCAGGCATGGTAACTTAGGCATATCATCCTAGCACTTGGGAGGCAGAGGAAGAGGTCACAGCAAGTTGGAGGCCAGCCTGATCTAAGTAGCTAGTTCTGGGCCAGCCAAGAATACATAGAGAAAGCTCATCTCCAACAAAGAAACAAGCAAAATTGAACTAGTGTATGTTATACATTACAATGATTAAATGTACACCAGAGTTTTATGTTCTGTATTGTGGAAAACAAGGACTTTTTAACATTTTAAAGTGTTTATTTTAAATTTTACTCTTTTAAAGTGATTTTTAAAACAGCTATTTGAGTTGCTGACTTGCTCCATTAAAAAAAATAGCATTTGGCTTGAAATTAAGAGAGAATTTAATTACCTAGATGTTCCAAAATATGTCTCTGGCATTTCGTGCTAAGTGCTATTCTCAGCAATGCCTATTACAGATCAAAACCTTGTTCTGCTCTAGAGAGTATTGGTGCTGTTCTGTCTTGCAGTATCAAATATCTTTACACTTTCCCCAGCTTCTAGCTTTGACTTGGGTTCCCAGAATCTAAACCCAGGCTGTTAGGCTTGTTGGAGCAGATACTTTCACCCTCTGAGCCACCTCTCTAGCTCCAGACACAGATGCTATTGTCTTCTTACCATGTCGTAATATATTAATTCCTGTTACCTTACCTGCTTATTTTCTTTGTTCTTATCTTTCTATTAGGGTGTGGTGGGGATGCTGGTAGATATGGAAGGACTGAGAAATGAGTAGAATTGTGGTGCAGGATGTGATATTCCTAAAGAATCAATAAAGAAATTACATTTTTACCCAGTTTCAGGAGGCCCAGTTATTAATTGTCAGTGTCACTGTCTGCTTCTGGTGTTATGTTCAGGGAGTGGTCTCTTGTACCAATTCATTCAAGGGTACCTTCCACTTTCTCTTCTAAGAGGTTCAGTGCGGCTGGATTTATGTTGATGTCTTTGATCCATTTGGACATAAGATTTGTGCATGGCAACACATATGGAGCTATCTGCAGTCTTCTACATGCCAGCATCCAGTTATTACAGCACGATTTGTTGAAGATGCTTTCTTTTTTCCATTTTATAAATTTAACTTTGTCAAAAATCAGGTGTTCATAGGTATGTGGGTTAATATCAGGGTCTTCAATTCGATTTCATTGGTCTACCTGTCTTTTTTTTTGTGCCAATTCTAAGCTGTTTTCAGAACTATAACACTATAATAGACTTTGAAGTCAGGGATGGTGATGCCTCTGGAAGTTCTTTTATTGTACAGGGTTGTTTTGGCTGTCCTGGTCTTTGGTTTTTCCATATAAAGTTGAGTATTATACTTTTCAGGTCAGTAAAGAATTGTGCTGGGATTTTGATAGGGATGCACTGAATCTGTAGATTGCTTTTGGCAAGATTGCCATTTTTACTATGCTTATCCTACCTATCCAAGAGCATGGGATTTTCATTTTCTTTGAATTCTTTCTTTAAAGACTTAAAGTTATTGTTATATAGGTCTTTTTTTTATTTGTTTGGTAAGCATTAACTCAATATTTTATGTTGTTTGTGGCTATTGTAAAGGGTGATGTTTCTCTTATTTTTTCTCAGCCTTTTTATTGTCTGTATATATTAGGGATAGTGATATCTTTCTTTCTTTCTGTTTTTTTTTTGTTTGTTTTGTTTTTTGTTTTGTTTATCTTGTGTCCTGCCACTTTGCTGCAGGTGTTTATCAGCCAAATAATCCAATTAAAAAGTGAGGTATAGAACTAAATAGAGAATTCTCAATGGAGGAATCTACTAAAATCTAAAATGGCTGAAAGACACTTAAGAAAGTGCTTAACATCCTTTATCCATCAGGGAAATTAAAATCAAAACAACTCTGAGATACCATCTTACTTCTATCAGAATGGCTAAAATCAAAAACACCAAAGACAGTTTATGCTGGAGAGGATGTAGAGAAAGGGGCACACTCCTCCACTGCTAGTGGGAGAGCAAACCCATACAGCCACTTTGGAAATCAGCATGGCAGTTCCTCAGGAAAATGGTGTAAGGATGAAAACAATACAGCCAAACTCTCCATTGACCCCAGGAAGCTAGAAGTTTTAAAATACTAAATACCTTAAATTCCAGATCCTGTCCTCAGCCAGTAAATAGGTGAAAGGTCACACTCATTGCTGCCTACCTGACTTTGTAAACTGCTTGTGAAACTTCTGTCCCAGTGATCTAACATAACTGCCATTTGTCACCCCACCTAGGAGCCTGCACAAATGCAGACCTCCAGGGCTATAGAAAACTGATTGGTCTATAAAGCAGGGGCTTGGATGGCTTAAATTGATTGGTCTGCACCATGAGGTCTCTGGATGCTATGAAATGATTGGTTTACGATGCACAGGCTTTGTTGTAACCCTATAAAAGCTGTCTCAATTCTGTACTCAGGGTCCTCAGTCCCCTACACCTATGTGGAGCATGGCTGTGACCCCAGTGCACTTGGAATATAAAAGACCTCATGTTTTTACCGCTTCTTGTGAGTGATTTGGGGTGTCGCCGCCTTTCCTGAGTGGGAGTGTGAAAGTCCACAATCTGCAGGTCTTTCACTAGCAATTCCACTCTTAGGCACATTCCCAAAAGATGTACATCCATGCAACAAAGGCATCTGTTCAACTATGTTCAAAGAAGCATTATTTGTAATAGCCAGAACCTAGAAACAACCTAGATGCCCCTCATCTGAAGAATAGATGCAGAAAATGTGGTACATTTACACAATGGAGTACTACTCAGCATAAAACAAAACAAACAAACAAACAAAAAACAATGGAATCCTGAAATTCTTAGGGAAATGGATGGAACCAGAAGAACTATCCTGAGTGAGGTAACCCATTCACAAAGAGAGGAACGTGGTATGTACTCACTCATATATGGATTTTAGACATAGAGCAAAGGATTACCAACCTACAGTTCATACTGCCAGAAAAGGTAGGAAGCAAGGAGGTCCTTAAGAAAGACATACACGGTCTCCTGGAGAAGGGAAAGGGACAAGATCTCATGAGCAAATTGGTAACAAGGAGGGAGGGGAGAGGGAATTAGAAAAAAGAGAAGGGGAGAAGAGGGAAGAGGTGGGC